ACGGCCAGCCACACCAGTCACCCTACCATACATCAGAGACATATCTGAAATGACCACAAAACTACTCAGAAACCTAGCTATCAGGGTAGTCCACAAACCAACAACCACCCTGCGTCAACTAATGACGAATGTAAAGGATCCCATACCCACAACCAATAAAACTAATGAAATATGCAAAATACCATGCAAGGACTGTGAGAAACACTACATAGGTCAAACTGGAAGAACTCTGACAATACGTTACATGAACACCAACTAGCCACCAAGAGATACGACCAATTCTCACTGGTCTCAATACACGCAAACAAAGAAAGTCACAAATTCAACTGGGACAACACATCCATAATAGCACAAGCCAAATAGAGATATGTCAGGGAATTCCTGGAGGCCTGTCAGTCTAATCGGAACTCCGTCAACAAACACATTCAACTGGACCTGATATAAAAACCACTGAGAAACAGAATCGGACATGATGCCAAGCATCCCAGCAAACCGAGGCATATAAATAACAAGCAGGACAGAACACCAACGCTTCACCTGAGGCGCAATGACGATGTTACCTCACAGGGTGACGAAATGTCTGCAACCAAACACACCAACTCAGCAAGCATGTCTACAACCTCATGGCTCCACTTTGTTCTTCAGTTTTGTAATGTGGTCAACATACAGAACCATTTTGAATGTATGATGTGACCAAAGAGGTGTTAATCAATTCATTCAGGTCTGAGACCTGGTTGTTTACCTCATTGATACTTCTGTTAATTCTTTTTCAGTGAAACTAAACTCAGTTCCAGATGAGAACTTACAATTGCCTCAATACAATAGTCCTGACAGATGTGGTACGAAGGTGAATATATATTTTAAATCATTACACAGCTTAAGGATTTAAAGTGACTTGTTATTTTGCAATATGACCTTAAGAAATGAAATTAAGAGCAGGTCAAATTTGCAATGACCTAATGTTATTTCTCGGAGCAGCAGTCAATGATGGGCCAGCATTAGTGTCAGAAGTCTCCTCAGAATTTCTGTATTATATAAAGCAAGATCAGACTGAGAAAGCCCCCTTCTCTTACTTCAATTTCACAAGGATTACTTGGTTCTATACTTTCTTCTTCTGATTATGTCACTAGTCTTTGGGAATGTGGAATAGATTGTCATATGATGAAAGCTTTTCCAGACTGGTGCTGCTTTTTCTTGGAGAGATTAGCTGGAACGTTATGAGATAATGAGATAATTCCTACTTGGATGCTGGGATGCAGGCATTCAACATGGAGGTGTACTGTGCATAAGCTAAGCTGGTTAGATACCACTCACCATGAGTTACCTTGTCCATGGTGACTGGATGACATGACACTTCCTGGGTTTCAGAGTCAATGTTAAGGACTCATTGAATCCCTACAGGCCATTGGGCCCATCAAATGTACACTGATTCTCTGAAGAGCAGCCCATCCAGACAACCCCCTTCCACCCCACCCCACTGTATCCCTGGAACCCTGCACTTCCCATGGCTCATCCATCTAGCCTCCATATCCCTGAACATTGGGCAATTTAGCATGGCCAATCCACCTAATCTGCACAAATTTGTACTGCGGGAGGAGATCGGAGCATTCAGAGGAAACTCACACAGACACGGGGTGAATGCGAAAACTTTCCACAGATTGTCGCCCGAGGGTGGAATCGAAGCCGAGTCCCTGGTGCTGTGAAACAGCAGTGCCAAACCATTAAGCCACCATGCCGCAACTCCCAGGATAACTCAGAGCTTCATAGATGCCCAGTTAGGAATTGCAAGATCTGTTCAAAATTATATTTATCATGCTGATAGTGTCACGCAAGTGCCTGGAATTCTCTCCCTGAGGACACTGCAGGTCTACCTACAGCATGTGGACTGCAGCGGTACAAGAAGGCGGCTCACCACCAGCTTCTCCATATATGCTGGCCAGATAGCAATGCCCACGTCCCACAAGTGAATGAAAGAAAGACAGTGGAAAGTATCTTTAATATAAATGTAAGACTTTGGTCTCCAGAAAGACTGTGTAGTTGTCACTCTTAACTGTTTCTGTCATGCACAGCTGAATCTGTGATGGGTAGATTGGTAAGAACGAGGTCAAGTAGGTTTCTTGTTGCTTCCTTCACCAACTGCCATACTCAGTCCAGCAGAAGTGTCCTTTAAGAAATTGAACAGCTCAATCAGTGGTGGTGCTGTTAAGCCACTCTTGTAGATGGATATTAAATCCCCCATCTAGAGAATATTATGTTCCCTTGTTACCCTTTGTGCTTCTTTGATTTGATCATATAAGGGTCCAGACTCAATTTTGAGGAGTCCCTCCTCAAGGTTTATTTCTGGTGCATCTGTCCTGTTACTGGTCCGCACATACCCAGGGTGGTGTCTGGGACATCAACTATAAGGCATGTGTAGGAATACATTTATTTTTCCATCTTCCCCCTTTTGTTTCTTTACCTCCTTTGTCTTTTAATCTCTTCCTTTCTTATCCACCCTCTTCGTTCACTTCCTTGCAGAACCCCCACTTTTCCCACTTTACCCTTCCTTGCTCTTTCCCTCACCCATTGTTGCTCTGAAACTTCCCTACTTATTCTCAACTTCTGCAGTTTGTCCTGTGCTACCTGGGAATTGAAACGATCACCATTAAAACTCTATACATTCTCAAATTGCATTTGACTGATGACGAAATGTATGTAGTCAGTAAGCACGAGGAAAAGTCTGGCTGTTATATGGAATCTGGTGTAATTATTGATTACACATGAATGGAGTTTATTTTCTGTGAACAAAATGCTTAAGGAATCACTCTTTCTTCAGGATTTGAAGCAGAGATCTCTGAAATGCTGCGACAAAAGGAAATGTGATACAGAAGTGGACACCCAACCCCCTATGAAACAGTGTGTGAAGGAGGAGGCAAATAAGAGCACAGAGGAAACTGTTACCATTTTCTCTCCAAACTACAGCACATGTAGTCCTCTCCCTTGCATAGAGAGTGTCACCTCGTATGCCAAAAATAATGAAAAGCAAACAGAATCCTCCATTCTCGACACAGTAAGTGAGTTTTCTCAAAAGTATTTTAACACTTGTAAATTTGTTCCACACTGCTTTTCTGCAATCTTATTTACTTCTGGGTGAATTTGCATATTCTTCAAGAAAGGAAGAGCTTACCCTTCGGCCTTTCTATGTCAGCAGGACATTCCAAAGTATTGTGCAGCCAGTGATTTCAGTTTGACAAGTAATCTTTATTGTTAAGTGAGTCAAGCCAATTTTCAGACAGTTGTATCCCACAAATCGGTGAAACTAATAATCAGTTTTGCATTTCTGTTGGTGTTGCTTGAGAGATAGCTGTTGGCTAGGATCCTGGAGAAATCTCTGGTATAGTGCTTTGGAATCTTGTACATGAACAGATAGATGCCAGTTAAATATCTCATCCAAAAGTTGGCATCTTGGACAGTGTTGCTTGTTGAACCTCCAGAATGAACCCATAACCTTTTGACCCAAGCAAGAGTTCGACTCCTGAGTCGAACTAATGAGTGTGCTAGCTGGTGGCAATCTGGGTTACCGATTTGTGTATTCAAGCCCCATTCCAGAATTTGGGTACATTTCTTGATATGCTGTACCAGAATGGCAGCTGCAGTTGATAGTACCATCTTTCAGAAGAGATGTTAAACCAAGGGCTGTTCAACTTAATTGTGGAAACTCTACAGTGTGGAAGCAGGCCATTCAGCCCATTGAGTTCACACTGCCGTTCCGAAGTGCATTCCATCCAGATCCCCTCCAATACTTCGCTTTGCATCTTCTGTGGCGCTCCCTGTCACTTTTGTTATTCCCCAATTATTACTGGAGTCATGTGTGTGTTCATTTGATAGTTTTTGGTGTACTTGCCTGCCCACTATTATGACTAGGGGTCAACTAATTTTCCTTTCTTCCCATTCCTTAGTTGACTGGATTCGGTTTTTGAATTTTTAATTGAATGCTAGATTGACAGTGTGTCCTTGACTGTGTGCACATCTGTATGAAGTGGTTTGCTTGAGTGAGGAGTTAGTTTTATTGCCAAAACCAGCAAAAAATTATAAACTACAAAAGTGTACAATTCCCTCCTCTCCAAAATGCACAAACACACGTTTCCAAGCACGCAAAAGAAAATACAACTTTAAATTTATCCAAGTAAGCTGTGAATAAAATGGTACTGTCAATAAAGATTCACCAATTGCATTGAAATGTTTCATTTGTTACTGAAGCAGTTGCTTTGCTGTAGTGGCTTGTGATCCCTTTCTCCTGTAATTATTGCTGTTGGTTGAAACCTTCCCTTCAGGTTTTCTGTTGGCAGAAAGGAGGTTTTCTGCCTTTCAAACCACTAATAGGGCCCACTGGTGTTTTGAGAGGTCTTGGAGAGAGAGGGAGGAAGACAGAGGGATGGAGGGAATGAAAAGGTAGAATGATCTGCTGTCCTTTATCAATCTCGGTTTCTGACTTTAAATCCAGTATTTGCAACAAGTGGGGTAACACGACCTCTCTCCGTCCTGGTTGATAGCTGTTCACATGCACTCCTGAGCAGGCCACTGTCCCTTTTTGCCAAAAGGTGATTAGTTTCTAATTTCCCAGCCTACAACATTATGGAATTATGTCATGCAACTAAAGATGCTGGAATTGATTTAGCTAATGAATCTTGATTGTTTACTTTTAGAATATGCAGCTGACAGAGAATGGAGGGACAGAGACAGCACTGAGTAATACCAACAGTGCTGTATCCAATGCTGAACATTCCAAGGAGGAATCCCAGCCAGGGAACACCGAAGAGACCCTGGTGTTCTTTGACCTGGAAACCACTGGCCTAGGTAACAACTGTCAGAACTGAGTGGGAGTCCCTCTGCTTTGTGCCAAGGTGTTGTATCACACTGTGGCAACATTTACTATGTGTAGAACAGTAGAACTATAAAGGGGATGAATGTTCACTTGAAAGTGAGCTTTAATCACACACAAGTCAGAGTCAATAAGAAGAATTGTGAGCGTTATAGAGTTATGGAGTATTGTCAGTCTTGGGTAAATTTAAATGTCAACTGGCATGAAACACAAAAGCACGCTTTAGAAAGTGGGGTCACCAGGCTACCTGTATCTCACTCCCATGCCACACCAGCAGCTGATTGGGATCTGGTACACGCTGCTGGAAAGCTTTGGAACTCAGCGTTCAAAAGGAAATAGCTAATTATCACAAGCTAAAAAGTTTTGCAGACCTGTGGGGAGAAGCTGAGGGAGTGGACAAGCAGAGTTGTTTTGTTATACAGTGGGTTCAGACATGACAGGCTAAATGCATCCTGTGCCGTTTCTGTTTTGTGTTTCTCTCCCATTCCAGTTTTACCGTGACAGTCTATGTGGCTCTCCGATTCTGAATTATCTATGTCTTTCCAAGTCTGGTCTATCCTTGTCTCTCCCAGCCCATACTATCAATACCAATCTGAGCCCATTCTATCATTTGTCTCTTGGTTGGTCTGTGCGTGTCTCCCCCAGCCTAGTCAATCCATGTCCCTCAAAGACTGGTTTAATCTGTATCTTTCCCAGCCTGCTGTGTTTCTGAGCTCAGTCTAACTATATCTACCTCTAGCCAACTTCAGCCAAACACATCAAGCCAGGAGAGCTGTAAAATCAAGTTTGAAAAGCAATGTTGTATTTTAACATTATATCTGTTCTTCTAGAAAAATGTAGTGATATAGTGCAGCTGTCGGCAGTGAGTGGTGAGAAGATCTTCAACAAGTACATCCTGCCCAGCAAATCCATGTCAGCGGGAGCTACAAACATTACCGGAATACAGGTCATGGATGGAATCTTGTACCTAAGAGGAGAACCTCAGATAACCTACAGTCTCCAGGACACCATGACAGCTTTCCTCAAGTTTCTGCAGTCACTGGACAGGCCTCTGTTAGTAGGCCACAACGTCTGGAAATTTGATGGTCCAATTATTCTGAGAGCCTGGGAGGAGTTGTCCATGAAAGATCAATTTGCAGGATGTGTGACTGGATTCCTGGATACCTTATGGCTGGCCAAGGAAGTTATTCCCAGGACAGAGGTCAGCAGCTATCGTCAATCTGATCTAGTGCAAAGCCTTCTTAAGAAAAGTTACGAAGCTCATAATGCTATTGAAGATGTGAAGAGCTTGCAGGAGCTGTACTCTTTTCTCAAATTTACTCCAGAGCAGAAGCAGAAAAGTCAGTTTTCTGTCTCTCAGCTTGAAAGCCGTGTCTCTTTACAGCCTCTCACTGATTGTAAGATGCTATTCTTTCAGCTTGCTGATAAACTTGCGATGCAGGATGTTAGTCTCGAAAAGATGAAATTAACATACGAGCAAGATGCTGAATCGGGGTTAAAAACCCTGTTCCAATCTCTGGGAGTGTCGGGGCCAATTTACATCAGACTATCAGAATTTTTCAAACAACAAGTTGCTGGTTCATTAACACGTCCTCCGAGTTAGCAAAAAAGACTTTCCTGATATACAAGACATAAATCATTTATTCATCTCTTCTTATTTGCTGATTGCTTGAGGTCACTGCATTGTTGTAATTTGCATTGCTGTTTGTATGTATGTTACAATATGTATGAATCAATAAATAATATTCTTAAAACGATGTCTGTCAGTTACCAAGGGTTCTTCTCCTTCGCTATGGAGACAGACTGAATACATGAGAGAAGCCCCTGAGTAAGTGCTACACAGGACCATGTGAGGGTAAGACTGGGTCAGTAAATAGATTGCTGCCTATGGAGAAGGGGCAATACTGGGGAATATTTCAGCCAGACAGTAACAGTGGGTATTTGGGTAAAAGCCTGGTCAAGCAGGGTCATGTAGGAGGATGTTCCAGTTAGCCACTGCAACCAGAACAGGTATATGCTATATATTCTCATATTTGCTGGGGATAATACACATATTGGGTGATGGCTCGAAGACATAACTTGCCTTGAGTATCTTGTTCAGCAGTCAAACTTGAGGCAGAAGCTTAGACTTGGCGTTTAAACTTGCTGCCAAGCCTGATCCTGTCCTCACATCGATTCTGTTTCAGGATGGACTGTCGGCTTGTGATCATTAAGAGGATTCCACAGCTTTGCAGAATTGTTATATAACATAGAACGATGCTGTGCCGAAGTTTTACCAACAAGCTCCACCCCTATGCTATACAATCATGCATATGCCTATCTAATAGCCGCTTAAATGCCCCTAATGAGGCCGACTCCACTCCCCTCTTCAGCAATGCATTCCACGCCCCTACCACTCTCTGAGTAAAGAACCTCCCTCTGACCTCTCCCCTTTATCTACCTCCACTCACTTTAAAACTATGTCCCCTCGTAATAGCTACCTCCACCCTAGGAAAAAGTCTCTGGCTGTGCACTCTATCCATACCTCTGATCATTCTGTACACCTCTATCAAGACACCTCTCATCCCTCGTCGTTCTAAACAGAAAAGCCCTAGGTCTCTCAACCTTTCCTCGTAAGACCTTCCCTCCATTCCAGGCAACATCCTGGGAATTCTCCTCTGCATCTTTTCCAACGCTTCCACATCTTTCCTGTAATGAGGCGACCAGAACTGAACACAATATTCCAGATGTGGCCGAACCAGGGTTTCGTATAGCCGGAGCATAACTTCACGGCTCTTGAATTCAATCCCTCTATTAATGAAAGCTAACACACCATACGCCTTCTTAACAACTCTATCCACCTGGGTGGCAGCTTTCAGGGAACTCTGGACATGAACCCCAAGATCCCTCTGCTCCTCCACACTGCCAAGAATCTTTCCATTAACCCTGTATTCTGCTTTCAAGTTTGTCCTTCCAAAATGAATCACCTCACACTTTTCAGGATTAAACTCCATCTGCCACTTCTCAGGCCAGCTCTGCATCCTATCAATGTCCCTTTGTAACCTAAAACAGCCCTCTGCACTGTCCACAACTCGACCCACCTTCGTATCGTCCGCAGACTTACTAATCCACCCTTCCACTCCTACATCCAAATCATTTACAAAAATCACAAATAGAAGAGGACCCAGAACAGATCCTTGTGGTACACCACTCATAACTGAGCACCATGTGGAATATTTTCCTTCCACTACCACTCTTTGTCTCTAAGGGTTGGCCAATTCTGTATCCAATCTGCCACACTTCCCCCTATCCCGTGCCTCCTTACTTTCTGCATGAGCCTACCATGGGGAACCTTATCAAATGCATTACTTAAATCCATGTATACCACATCCACTGCTCTACCTTCATCCACGTGTTTGGTCACCTCTTCAAAGAATTCAATAACGTTTGTCAGGCATGATCTACCCCTCACAAATCCATGCTGACTATCACGAATGAAACTGTGCCTATACAAGTGATCATAAATCCTATCTCTCAGAGCAACTTTCCAATAATTTGCCCACCACTGAAGTAAGACTAACTGGCCTGTAATTTCCGGGGTTATCCCTATTCCCTTTTTTGAACAAGGGAATGACATTTGCCACTCTCCAATCTTCCGGCATGATACCTGTGGACAGTGAAGATGAAAAGACCATCCCTCTCAGTCGTGAATACCGAAGAAAAGTATTCATTAAGGACCTCTCCTATCTCTTTAGGCTTCGTGCACAAATGACCTTTACAATCCTTGATCGGCTCTACCCTTTCTCTGGTCATTCTCTTATTCCTCACGGATGTGTAAAAAGCCTTGGGATTTTCCTTGATGCTATCTGCCAAGGTTTTCTCATGCCCCCTTATAGCTCTCCTAAGCCCTTTCTTCAGCTCCTTCCTGGCTAACTTGTATCCCTCTCGAGCCTTTTCCGATCCTTGTTTCCTAAACCTTATATAAGCATCCTTCTTCCTCTTAACTCGTTGTTTGACCTCTCTTGAGAACCAAGGCTCCCTCACTCAACTGCATCTTCCCTGCCTGCTCAGGACAAACATATCAAGCACGCGCAGTATGCATTCCTTAAACAATCTCCACATTTCGATAGTGATCTTCCCTGACAGCATCTGTTCCCATTTTATGTTACCCAGTTCTTGCCTAACAGAATTATAACTACCCTTCCCACAATTATAAACCTTACCCTGCTCTATGTACCTATCCTTTTCCATGATTATTGTAAAAGTAACAGAGTTATGATTGCTACCGCCAAACTGCTCTCCTACCAACAGGTCTAACACTTGGCCCGGTTCATTGCCAAGCACCAAATCCAAAGTGGCCTCTCCTCGTGTTGGTCTATCTACATACTGTTTCAGGAATCCTTCCTGAACACACTGGACAAAATCTGCTCCATCTAAACTATTACAACTAAAATGTTTCCAATCAATATTTGGAAAGTTGAAGTCACCCATGACTACAACCCTGTGACTTCTGCACCTTTCCAGTATCTGCCTCCCAGTCCACTCCTCCACTTCTCTGCAACTATTAGGGGGTCTGTAAAAAACCCCCAAAGTGACTGCTCCTTTCTTGTTCCTGACCTCAAACCAAACTGACTCTGTAGACATATCATTCTTGAACTGCCTTTCAGAAGCTGCTATACTAGCCCTGACTAGCAATGCCACTCCCCCGCCTCCTTTATCACCCTCCCTATTTCTTTTAAAGCATCCTAATCCCGGAACTTCCAGCAACCATTCCTGTCCCTGAGTTACCCAAGTTTCTGTAATGGCCACAACATCGTAGCTCCAAGTACTGACCCATGCTCTCAGTTCATCTGCCTTATTTCTGATTCTTCTAGCATTGAAGTATACACACTTCAAACCATCCCTGTGTCCACAATTTCGCTCCATCGACCGCATTTCTTTGTTAACAACCTCACTCCCTGTTGTGTCTTTTGGAAGACTGAATACGTCATCCTCTGAATTACAAGTCTGGTTCCACACCCCCTGCCAATCTAGTTTAAACCATCCCGTATAGCTCGAGCAAACCTCCTTCCCAGGATATTTGTGCCCTTCCGGTTCAGGTGCAACCCATCCTTCCTGTACAGGTCCCACCTTCCCCAGAATGTGCTCCAATTATCCACGTAATGGAAGCCCTCTCTCCTACACCAGCCCTGTAGCCACGTGTCTAGCTGCACTCTCTCCCTATTTCTTACC